TTGAAGCTGCAGCGCGAGGTGAGCAGAGGTCAGAAAGGAGCGGAGCTTGGCGGAACTTTACATCTTGACGATGCGCCATGCACCGCACTCGCACAGAAGGAGCAGCTACTGACGGAGCTGGGCAAAGAGACGAGAAAATCAAGAGGTTTCGATGCTAGTTCGTCTACGCCGCCAAGACTGCTTCGACGCAAAAAGGATTACGATGCTCGAACCGTCTCGCAGATCTCGCACGCCCGTCGATCTGCATCCGCTGAGGCGATAGCGGGAAGCAAACATCAGCGGCCCGAAGCTGACTCAGGATCTCACCGACCTAGAGAGGTGCAGACTGATCGAGCGATCCAACGTCGGGAGTCTACAAGGTTTGAACCGCTTTCGCCTGAATGCCTCACCTGTCCAGAAGAGGGAGAGGCACGGAAGCCTTGGCGACGTGAAGCTCGGGGACGATACACGCCCGAACGGAGGCATGACACGGAAGCTACCATAGACGAAGGCGAAGGGTCCGGCTATGCTCCGAGAGGTCGATGCAGAGATTCCGCTTCCGAGGCTGAAGACCCTCGGATGTATAGACCTAGATTTGGACGTGAAGATTGGACGGATCACCGTTCTCGATCTCGCTCGCCGATAAGACAGTCTCATCGCATGCGCAATGCATGTTGACTTGGCTTCCAGGTGCTCGCTGCCGTATTGTGGCGAGAGCTGGAGAGAAGAAAAGATGAAGAGCAAGGCATTGCGCGTTCCTGAATGGGCTTCTCAATCACGAATCTCGCACTACAAGACACCACGTGCGTCCCCGTCCGCGACCGCTCACGTGGCGGTGCATTGTGCCATACCCTCATCGCGCTGAAAAAAAATCCGAAGAGATGCTTGTTTGCCTGTCCGCATGCCCTTGTCAAGCTGCGAGGCGGCCCGTTCGTGGCTTGCGTTCCCAGGCTTCAAGACAGAAGAAGAGTGACGAGTCTTTGTTGGACCTTATAGCGCCCGGTAACATATGGTTGTCTGCACCGATGAGCTCGACAAAGCCCGGGCGGCGGCGCCAAGTCGATATGCATAATGAGGTACGGAAGACCGGTCCTGGACCGACGAGAAGGGAACGCATCCCCTTTTGTGCATCTTGAGGCTTCTGTCAGAAAGCATTTTTTTGGGACGGCCGGAATGTGTATGGTCCAGGACATGCCGTGGTGGAGTACAGAGGTGACCGCGCGCAACTTTTCGAAAGGTTGAAGCAGACTTGATCCTTTTTTCCTCATCGAACATCATTCCGCGAGAAAAGAGCTCGTCTAAGACTGTGCCAGAGAGGCGTTCGAGCGAGTCACATTCCATTTGCAGCGATGCCTTGCTACAATAGGCGTGAGTAGCACGAGTCTGTAAAGGCTTCTTTATCGATCGGCTGAAGAGTCACTACTTCAGTCGTCCAGGTGCACGCCTTCGGGAACAGGAGAGCTCGCAGGGATGGCGAAGCTGCGCGCAATCTCGATTTCGCAAGGATGGACAGTCTGCCAAAGACGGATCAAGTATGCTTGGGGAACAACAAGGCCTATTTCCATTTGGTGTACGTTCGAGGACCTCATCACGTCATGCACGAAGCGACACTTCGAGGGTGGTTCAGCTCGATCGGTGCCGTCGTTGCGAGGCGCTTTCCAAGGAGTAGCCGCGAACATCGCTATCTAGCGTACTGCTTTGTGACGTTCGCAAACGCGGAGCAAGCGCAGCGAGCCATCGCAAGATATCTCCAGAGCGAAATGTGGGGCGGCGGTAGGCTGAACGCGGAGCCTGATAGGTCAGACCGTAAAGCGCTCGAGCTGAGCCAGCGGATTCTCGATGGAGCCGAGCAGGACGTAGACCGCGCGGTCTTCGAGCAGCACCGCGGCTATATCTTCCAGGCTAAAGTCGAAGCGGTCGAAGCTGAGGCTGTCACCATCGCCATCGAAGCGAGAAATCTGCTAACATCGTATCCCAAAATTGCCCGTCTGGTCGTAACTATCACGAAAAGGGGTGACAAGAGCTTTCGCCGATCTGTTCTTCGTGAGGATCTGCTCCAAGAGCCTTGTTCCTTGACCGTGCCTCTCGATGGACAGCAGAACGAAATCATCAATGTAATCGTGGAGCCTCGCTACTACGGAGCGCAGTCCGGGGTAGAGGTCTCTCCGTTGCCTCCTCTTATCGGCTTCGTGCTCCACATTCGGGGTGGACTGGTCCGCACCGCAAGAAGCAGAAGGCTGCCCGAGCTCAAGCCTCCGACTAACAGAGACCTGTCGGCTGTTTCTTTCCGCGAGGAGAGAAATTACGCACCCGTCGAGCTTGCCGAACGGACAAGTCCCTCGCAGTCAATCTCACAAAGGCTAGCCGCCGCTATCCCCGGCTCTGCAGAGACCAGCGTTTCCCTGGTGGACCGCATCAGCGACGCCGCTCTTCCCGGCTCTGCAGACACTCGCGTCCTTTTGGTGGACAGCATTAGCGAGAAGCGCGCAAGAGAACCAGAAAGTCGACACAGCGACGAGGGTTGGTGCAGTCAAAAGCCCGAGGTGGGAGAGAGATGCATTGAGCGCGAGGATGCAGATTCGCGTGAAGGAGACTCTGCGCGTAAACGCATGCGACGCTTGCCAGTCGAAGACGCTCCAAGTCCCCACGGCTACCGACGCAGTGCGATTGTCGAGGAGAAGTCCGACCCGAGCAAAGAGCCAGGACTCGCTCCCTCTTCACCGTACAGTCGCGCATACGAGCCACCGTCTCCGCCATTTGTAGCGAAGATGCATAGCCGCAACACGTCAGAGCTGCGGTCTGCAGGTCCGCTTAATCCCCAAAAGACGCTGATAGACAAAGAGGCTTTGCAAGCAGAGAATGAGCGGCTGCGAGAGGAGATCGCGGTGGTGAGACTGAAACGGGAGGTGAGCTTTCGGCCGAAGGCTTTTCAGCACAACTCCGACCGAGTGCTGATCGCTGTGCTTATTCCGTGGGTCGACCGAGTAGCATGAAGGGTTACTGCTACAATTGGAGGAAGAGCGCGAGCTAGCGAAGATTGCGAACTCCCCTACAAAATCTCAGACGATCCCTACACCCCTGTCCACTCTCAAACGCCGCTCGCAGTCCCAAGATCGACCTACCACTGGACGACATTCGCTAGTCTCACCTGCTCTGAGCTCTTTGCAGCAGTCGCTGACTGCTAGTAGATATGATAGCAGAACTCAAGCGCCCAGCATAAGTCCAAGGACTCCAGAATTTAGGT